TAGCTCTCCTCTGGGGTTTCTAGTGCCGATGCCATAATCTCCTACTGCCTGGTCTCCCGCCTGCTTCTTCCCTACCTTTGCATTAAAGTCGCCCATCACTATAGTATACTGTGTTTTTACCTTACTCATTGCCGATTCCACGTCTTCATAGAAGCTTTCAACTGAAGCGTCATCATGGCTGGATGTAGGCACGTAAGCCTGTACTACCTTCATCTTGTATCTTTTACTCAGTTTAATTACAATACCTATTACCCTTTCATTAATGCTATAATATTCCTCTATGTTGCCAGCTATGTTTCTGTGAATCAGAAACCCCACTCCCAGTTCTCTTCTGTCTGCCAAGCCCCGATAGCAAAGGATGTGTCCATTCTGTAGCACCGTATAGGCCTCATCTGTCCTCCTAACCTCACTGAGCCCTATTATATCCTATTTAACACCCTCTAGCTCTTCGAATAGTACAGCTAGACTTCCCTCACTAGATAATGTTCTAGCGTTAAACGTTGCCAAGTTCAGGTTCCAATGGCGGCCTGTAGTCCAGAGATTCTTAGCACCCTCTGCTGCGTTGCAGATCTGACCGCCGCCGTAGTCAGTTGCTTCGCAGCTGCTGAGGACTGAGGGCCGTGAGTTATTTGGCGTATCCATGTGGGAGGTAGTGGCCAGATACTGCACCAGGGTGGCCAATACTTCTTTGGTGAGGGAGTGCGTTCCCGGCGGTGGTTACCGGTGAGGCCGCACCTCAGGCTTCTTAATGTACTTCCATAAACACGCGATTTTTTTTTTCCGCTTGGGAACTGCGCGGCACCGGGCACGTGGTCCGACTGTTGTTGTTTTCATAGATCCACACTGTTTTCCGCTCCTAAAATTTAAAATATTTGTTTGTAATAGCAGTATTTGTAGTGGTTGAACTCCTTGTATCTTCACGAACAAGTAGACACCACTATGACCCTCCTAGGACCAAATTGCTAAAGTTATAGGTAGATATGTGCAGAGCTCACTTACCCGTGCTGCTGACGCGGCCGCTCCCGCTCCCGCAGTGGGAATAATCCGTGCTTATTGGCTAAGAAGTGGAGGAGCAGTTTCGGTGGGCTTAATTCGCTGTGGAAGCTGTTTCGCCAAACCCAGCTCAAGCAGTGACAGCAGTCCGGCAACACTGAGTGTGTCTTCTGAATAAGTCTCTATTGACGCTGATTGATTGATTTGTGGGGTTTAACGTCCCAAAACCACCATTTGATTATGAGAGACGCCGTAGTGGAGGGCTCCGGAAATTTTGACCACCTGGGGTTCTTTAACGTGCACCCAAATCTCTATTGACGCTCTCAGTTGAATTGGGCGCTCGCGGTTTTTTTCCACGGCAAAACTATTGCGAGCGGAAATGACACCGTTAGGTTGCCGCCGTATGATTGGATAAATTTAACGTTAAAAGTAATTGCGGCATTGCAATAAAATAAGGATTGCTATTGGATTTTATTTTTCCGTTAGGAATAACGTATCCGACTTTTCCAGCTTGAAAACTTCGATTGATTTGTGGGGTTTAACGTCCCAAAACCACCATATGATTATGGGAGACGCCGTAGTGGAGGGCTCCGAAAATTTCGACCACCTGGGGTTCTTCAACGTGCGCCGAAATCTGAGCACACGGGCCTACAACATTTCCACCTCCATCGGAAATGCAGCCGCTGCAGCCGGGAATCGAACCCGCGACCTGCGGGTCAGCAGCCGAGTACCTTAGTCACTAGACCACCGCGGCGGGGCAGCTTGAAAACTTCTAAGCTCGTCAAAGAATGCGCTGAACGCCATGGTGCTGGAAGAAATGCGCCAGAGACGCTCCATGCGCCGTTGTTTGTAAAAAAAACTAAAAATGTAAGAGCGTTGATATATAGACACAATCGCAATAAGGAAGATAAATAAAGGTACAAAACATAGAAGCGTTTGTGAGCTGGCTCGTCTCGCACGTGTCATTCCCTTTTCAAGTACCAGATTACTTATCATTGCAACCGCGTCATGTGCATTACGGGAAATATGTCATGCGAGCTTTCTGTACGGTAGGGCTTTCAGTTCATTTTTTTTATTCGGCAGCCTTCCGACGTCACATAGGGTGAGGGAAACTCGGTCAGGTGAGCTCGCGAAAATTGAGTTGAGAGCAAGCATTCATTTCATTGTACTTTGGTAATTCTACGCAGAATAACTTTGCGCTGCGGGCCCCTATCGCTGCCGTTCTTGCGGCACCTATCTCTTAAGTGTTCCGTGTACACAACCAGCTAGAAAACAAAGTAAAACTATGAGGTCGTGAAAAGTGTAAGAGGGCTCCTTTAATTAACGAAATGATCCACTACAATCCCGAAACTTCTCGAACACTGCAGGCATGGTTTGCGCTGAGAATTGCGTACAGTTCAAAGGGGCGATAACAAAACTTCAGGAAATGAACGTGGCATTGCCCCCCCCCCCCCCCCCTGAAAAAGGCATCGTCCCGATGCTCTAACGCAAGATGAAAGCACAAACGTAATGCAAGAAAGTACAAGCAATAAATTACGATACAGCAATAACAACAATAACAAAATACACTGTTTCAGTTCGTTAACGCGCATGAAACAGCTTGAGGCGCTCGAGAGCGCCAAAACGCTACGAAAGCGCCAATCGAGCAAGCGAACAAACAGTAGACATGTAGCCAAAGTGAAAGACTGCTGATATTAAGCTAAACAATTCCGTGCTTGTCCAACAAGGGCTGCTCACCAGTACGTGACGTAAAGGCGCGTTTACACTAGAGAGACACAACACCGATTTTGGTCTGCTGCCTGCGTTTGGGAATGTCTTTTGTTTTGTCGTCGGCCCATGTACACTGCAAAGACACCAACAGTTCCAGGGTGGTCTCTCAAAGACTCCACCTGCCCCTCATCATGCACACAGTCTTTCGTTGGCCGGCTCTGTAGTTACATTGGAGGCACACGCAGCGACACCAGCTAAACTTGCGCACCTGCACCTCATTTTCACCCATGCTCCCTGCTCTGCCATTGTCCCTCTCCGGCTACACGGCGCAGCCCCTGCCATAACCCAGGGTGACGAGAGAGGGGGGTGGTGGACACATTAGGGAAGCGAAGAAAAGACTTACTTTGGGTGCTCGAGCTGCCTATTCAGACGCCGCGGAAGCCTCGGAGAGGGCATTGTTAACTCCCCCAAGATTGCCCGCTTCCTTGTCTTTTGAAGCAAAGACATGGGGCAAATTTTCGCTCAGCCGCAGATCTCCCTAAGACATGCCGACGACAGGTCTGTGGATGCGTTTTGATGGTGTTTTTGGTCTACCATTATGTTACACTACGATAAAATGCTGTCTTTTGAGACGTCGTCGCCGTTCTAGTGTGACCATGGGGCTTGGTGACTTTGTCGGTGGGTGACTCGTCGGCCGATGGTTTGCGTCTGCCTCATGTCTTCTTCGGAATCTTGTCAGTGTCGTGTCTCTCTAGTGTAAACAAGACTTTATAGACTCGAGTGAATTGAGCACTGTACGTTCCAGAACAATCTGTAATGTTCGCGGAGTGGGCTAATCTTAATGAAGTGATCCACTACAGTTCCGAAGCTTCTAGAACACTGCAGGCGCGGTTTGCGCTGAGAATTGGGTACAGTGTAACGGGGTGGTAAGAAAAATTGAGGAAAGAAACGTGGCATTATATCTTCCAAAACTTTGTGCGGGTACTACATCATAAATTATCTCCAAAAAGATGCGCTGCAGTAGCTGTGCCTGAGTTTCTTGCTGGGCCGAGAAAGAAATTTCAGATTGCGGTTTTCTTGAGCGCAGCCCGACAAAAACAGATGAGCGCGAAAGCACAAAAGCAAAGGGGGTCGGCTGGTGCAAGTGCGATGACTTGGTGTTTTCTCCGGCAATATACTGTTACGGTGCACCTTAACTCAAATTTCGTCATAGAGTGGTCGCGCTGCTTGCAAGCCAGGCACTGCCAGTTTTGATATTCGCATTGAAATACGGCGATAAATATTTCAAAGCACGTGCCATTTTTGTGCTTCCCCCAAAAAAGGCATGCCATAAATTGTCAATGACAACATCGTCCTGATGAAAAGAACTGTCCGAAAGTCAATAAATAACACATTAATTAACCGGTATTTGACAATTAGTCAATTCATGGCAATTTCACCTGCGGCAAAGCGTTCCTCTTCGACATACTGTTTGTGGACCAAAAACGGCAAGAACATTATTGCAATAGTTTATGGAAAATCTCTATTGCTTAAAAATGCACCCAGTACATTTTCCTGTATTCGACGGACTAGTGTACCAATAGCGATTTGGGCAGTGAAGAGTTCCAAGGCTGTGCCCTGGAGAAGAGGCAGAAATATGGGTAATTTTACTTCGTAAACGTGGGCGGCCAGTGAAGCTGTTCAACAAGTAGGTGACGCACAGGCGGCCAGTTTGTTATGAAAGTCCAGGTTGTGAACGTGCCAATGAACATTCGAATCACTGGGCAGTCTACCGCGACACGTCAACAATCAAATCGCCATCAAGATTATGAGTAGGCTTCACTGTAGCACACAATGTTGGAAAGCAAGCTTACATACGCCGTTTCTTACTCATCCTCTTAAAGCTGGCTTCACGTCTAAACGAAAACGCACTATTAGAAAGACATTTTTTCAAGAACAATATAAGTTAGCAAAGTGAAGTATTCGGCAAGCTTGTTTTGCATTATTACAAATACTGTGCTACTGTTACTGGGAAATAGAAAGTTTGAGAGGACACACGTATACGAAGTGGACGCGGCTTGCGCTTGTCGTGTCCACTTCGCAACGTGTGTCTTTTCTAACTTCTTATGTCCCAGTAACCCTAGCGCAGCATATTCGACCATATAAGTCATTTTATTTCAAAATGAGAAGAGTTGTTGACTTTAAGTTGTTTTAATAAATATTTGCTGTTGCCCCGGGGTGCTGACTTTTGCCGTTTACTTTCCCGTTTAAAATTTCAATATTACATTTCTCTGTTTGTTTCTTGTCAAATTCCGCAGTATGTCGTCGACTGCAAAACAGTTAGCAAGTTGCCGAAGCTTATCTTCACCATAGGCGGTAGACAGCACACTCTCAAGGGAGCCGACTACACATTAAAGGTAAGCTGAAATTTTTTACTATGGGCTCAATCATCATTACTTGAGCAACATGGGCAAAGTTTTTGGAGGTCGCGTCAATGAAAACTAAGAAAAGTAATGTGCCACGATGCTTAGTACTGCTCTCTCGAAAGACAAAACGAAAATGATAATATTTTCGTGTGGTGTGTAATCTTTTATCAAGAGTTTTAAAAGAATCCAGTGGCGCTGACAACGTCTTTAGTGCAAGTGTCATTTCCTATGGTTTAACACTCTTCAATACTTCTTTCGGCTTTTGTTCTGTTTTCTTTTTCTCACAAGCTCATTATCATCATCAAATGGCAAACAGTATAAAATAATCAGTACAGAAAGCTCCACCCCCTACATGCATGCACCATCATTTCACTCCTTACATCACCGAATGTATATTTTTTTCAACAACGCAGCTGCAAACATCCGACCACCAGGTACGATGCTACGCCGGCTTTGGAACCACTGATGACTATGGAACAAAGAAGCCTTTGTGGATCCTGGGCCAAGTTTTCATGCGGAAGTTCTACACAGTCTTTGACCGAGATGCTGACAGAATAGGATTCGCAGAAGCACGTTAGCGGCATGTGAACGCGCCCCGTGTGGTTCTTGAGAGCTGCGTTCCGGTGGGATGATGAAATCAAATGTACATTGAAATGCATGGAATATTCAGATGGCGTGCTCTAGGTTCCCGACAACGTGAATGCGTTGGGAAGGCTTGGATAATCATTTAAGAAAAGCTAAAGACCAACGCAAAGTTTATGGTGGTGCCAGTTTTGTTTAAACATTCTCATTTTTAATTTCCCGTTACGATGTTTTTTGAATGCAGAACAGGAAAAGAAAACCCTCGAACCCCTGAGCGTATGCACGTCATTGTGACGCTCACTTGAAATCTGTGAATACACGAATTAAATACTGAAATCATCGACACTCCAGAGTGACGTCAGGGGTTTCAAAGCATCATATTACAGCCGGGCAGTTGTGGTGAAGTAAGCATTAACAGTTTTTTCTATACGTTCAATATTTAGCCCCGCTAATTAATATTCAACAAATGATTCAAGGGACTTCATTTGAAATAATCAACCAATTAAACAGTACACATGCTCATATCCAGCTATTCTGGACACATAACAGCCAGCGCCCCTAGTGGTCCCGGCTCGAAGCTAGCGTGTTTTCAATGGAACCAGTGATTTTTTCTCGATTATTAATTGTAGAGGGTGAATGTTGAAAAACGCAGACAACAGAGCGCGTCTGGGAATCTAAACGAACGAGAAGGCTGCAGTGATCGTGTTGGGGTAAGCAGCTTCAATTTTGTTCCCAGAGCAGTTAAAGATCGTACAATGGGAGGCTAAGGAAACGGCACATAAAGTGGCCTGTTTTTTGAGACAAAAACGTTCACTGCAGTAAAACTAAGTAGGTTCTATTAATGGTCAGTGCACCGTATGTAGTCCTGACACTCAGCTTTCGATTGAAGCCATTCTCAACGTGTCGCAATTGGCGTAACATTGTTCCCTAACACGTTTTTTGGGACGCCGTCTTTCAAATGCTTGTGGCATTTTGATAAACTCTTGCTTATCATAGGCGGCTTGGAGTCACTCGTGAGCGAGTGCGTTAATCGGGCAGTTGTGGGGCGCAACCTCACCGCATCGTCATAGGTTCAATGCCGCACGTTAGAGCGTTTTTTTTTTTTTTTCAGCCCGTGAGTAAGTTCCACAGCATCCTACAAGATGTCGCCACCACAACAATAGAAAAAAGTTTGCGTTTCAGTTTCGATTTCTCCGTGTGGTCTTGAGGAGCCTTTTGTTTTCCTTCAGTTTTATTACTTTTCAGGGCATTTTTAAATACTGAACGCAAATCATAGTCTTAAGATGTACTTTTTTAATTCTTACTTTATTATTTTAAACATCCTAAGGAAAATAACGCTCGATTAGGTTAAATGATCAAAGCTCTTTGGTTTTTTGTACGTTTTTTGTAATACAAACTTACTTCCCGTTTTCATCGTTTTGTTATGCTCAGTTCTCAGGTTCCTACAATTCACCGATGTAAAGTACACGAACTAAGAACAGAGAAGCAAGGCTTAGTAAATGGTGAAACAATACGTTTTGCCGTTGCTTTTAAATGCGAAGCGTATCTATCTATCTATCTATCTATCTATCTATCTATCTATCTATCTATCTATCTATCTATCTATCTATCTATCTTTCTATCTATCTATCTATCTATCTATCTATCTATCTATCTATCTATCTATCTAGCCACCCACGTGTGTATATATCTACGTATATCCCTTACTAATTATTGTCTACTAGGCAAGAAGGCAATACACGAAGTATATATTGCCGTATATCATATACCGCAATATATACTACGTATATCACCTCCTTATCCTGGGGTAAAGCAGATTTAGTATTTAGGTGTAAGAAAGATTGTCGAGTAACTTCCATAAATTATGGCATGATTTACTTGCAAAACCCGTTGCGTACGTACGTCGTCAAACCTTTTGCTCCTCACATACGTGGCACATACTCACATACCACGTGTGGCGGTATGCGGATATACAACATAGGTGATTGACAGTTTGCTGAACCGGGAGCGGTGGGAACAGACATCTGTAATTTAAGTGCAAGAGCGCCAACAAAAAACTGAAACCAGCCGCGTTGACCCGATGAATGCAAAAGTTAAATATTATGATCCCAGCATGAATTAAAACAAAGCATCATGCGTAGCAACCAAGTACAGTACCGCAGCACCGCGTTAGGTCTTGGAAATGCTTTGGAAAAAGGCATTATTTCTGGCGAAACGGCAATTGTGGTTGTGTTTCTGGCCATTCAAATTTATAAAGATCACATATGTATTCCAATGACCTAGGATTCACGTCGTCTCAGCGTCAGTAATACACTTCATGGACATCCACTGAATTTGGTCTACGCAGCATTGAACAGAGTTACCATCCTTGAAAGCACAAGCGCTACATATCCGCTTACCTCTTCTGTGTTGGTAACAATCATGTTGCTGTTGGCATCTTTGCACAACTGTAAACATCTTGTTATATAAAGTATACGTGATGTTCAACATATGTCTGAGCGACGAGATTTGTACATGTATTTAGCATGATTTTGTAATGTTTGACTTAATTAAAAAATTACAAGGTCACACTCCTTGCGCATGCTACGCATTACATTGATCCCCATGTTATGTGAAATCTGCCAATTAAAATTACGAAAAGCCCCTCCTATTTCCTATGGAGACAGAAATGTTGTAGGCCTGTGTGCTCAGATTTGGGTGCACGTTAAAGAGCCCCAGGTGGTCGAAATTTCCGGTGCACTCCACTACGGCGCCTCTCATAATCATATGGTGGTTTTGTGACGTTAAACCCCACATATCAATCAATTGAAAAGCCCCTCCTGTCTATGGGATTGGAACGTATGTCGATCTGCAGGGCTTCTTCTGAGAGGCTAGAAAAATAGGATTCCACTAAACCTATAGTTTTGTGTTTTATCTCAACCATGTGTCATTGCGATATAAACTAAATGGAGACTATCGATAGGTTTTTGCCGTCGACGTCACCACCACCATCACGTTCCGTAAAAATTCCCCATCGATATCGTTCCCTTGCGTGTACGGTACGACCTACGAACGGGTAAAAGCGCATGAACAGCGGGGATGGACATGGCTGATCAAACGTATCGGCCTATCTCCGTCGATCAGAGGGTGCATGCGATAAGATTAACCCGCGGGTAAAGCATGCCATCAAATACTGCTGAAGCAGAGCGTAAATGGCTCTGTTTGCTTTGAAGGCGCATGAAAAGACGTGAAGGTGAAGGTGGGGGTGAGGGAGCTGCGTTCGAGCAGTGACTGTGAACGTTCACTACAAGGACGTGATGGCGAATGCTATAGTGATAGACATCAGCTGATGGCTTGTATACTCTTCTACGTTCTTCGTTATCAACAAGAAGTGGCTGTGTAAATTCCCCTTTTCTACCGCGAGCGGCTGCGTTCTGTTGCAGGAACGTTTTGTAGAGTTACGCAACACTGGATGTAAAAATTTAGCCTTACTTAATTTGTCACTACTATACACAGAAAACGAGCAGCATGCATTATTTGCCATCAAAAAGCTCTGAGCGCTGCGTCGGAAAGTCTGTGTGTTACGACGTATGTCGATCAAAGCTTTCAGAAAGTTCCATTGACTAGTGCTGTCACAGGAAACAACAAACCGTCATCGATAGAACATATTTTACGATCACAATTAAGTCTTGTTCGTTGCTCGAAAGAGCAAAGAAGCTTGCGCTTATGCACTTTTATCACGTTCCAAATTTCGTAGACTTCTATCATTCTTTCTACATTTTTTGTATGTTTGATTTAGTTCTTTCCTTCTTTTTTTTCGTGGGGAAAAGAGCATATACATATATTTATGCTCGAAAATATAGCCAGCTGTCCTACGCTTTCCGCATTGAGATGGCCGATACCGAAGCCTGTGACCACTGTGACACCAAAGAAAACATTCCACATATATTTTGTTACTCGTGACAGTATAGTGGACAGCGACTATGTCTTCGCAACGAGCTCAAGAAATTAGATAATCAACATCTGTCGAAGGAAAAAAAATACAATACAACAGGGTCAAGGTAAAACTGATGAGAGCGGCTCCAACTCCGAGCTACCCGGCATTGAGGCACACCAAATGGACTAACGGCTTTTCATGAACGAGAAAAGCTCTTATGAGGGCTATGAAAATATCGCTGTTTGGGGTGCATATTTTTCTAATACAGGTTCTTTAAGTTGCTTGTTTCTGAAGTTCACATGGCGTTTTTCGGAGGTTGTTATTTTTTTGCTTTTTTGGAGGAAATATGCGCCTTATCACAGTTTATGTATTACAAATCCCCAATTCTGTGAAAACTTGGTGCCTGCTTTCTCAGTTTTCCGCCATTGCTCCTAAATAAAATTAAGTGGTATGTAAAGACAAGAACATCAGAACACATGGAGTATAATTTACCTTTCAGGGAGGCACGCACAAACAAAAGCACAATCAAGTTGAAATTAACAGTTCATTGCAAGACTTTGTCCGTATAACAACCCTAAAGTTGGTGGTAATATAAGTCAGTGATGGAAGTGAATAATATATGTCAGTGATGGAAGCACACTCCTTTCTAGTGGTGATTCCCGGCCTCTGAAGAAGGGGGTGTGTCAACATACACCAAGTGATGTTTTACTGTGCTGAACCACTTGTTAGTATATCTTGATGTCCTGTTATCATGGTGGTCGTGGTGGTCCTGTTACTTGTTAGTATATCATGGTGAATTGTTTTTTCGCTATGGCACACTCAACGAAAAAGGCTTATGTCAACGATGTCGCTGCTTTCTCTTCCCTACCCCCCCCCCAAAAAAAAAAAGAAATAACCTGCCTATGCCCTTGCGGGTGACGTGCCAGAATTGGCTTAGATCATGCTCATTTGTTAAAAGCGGAACAAGGTTATAATGACCGTTAAAAATTAGGGGACCCTAAAGCTTCGCCTTTAGTTCAACGTGATTGCGATCTTCTGTTCCTATGGCGCATACTTGAAACACCTAATGCGCAGTAGCGTGTGTGCGTTTTGTAGAGGTTACAGGCTTTAAACCACGAGGGCATTGTAATAATCACATTTTCTGACGCCTGATTTCCATGGGTGCTTGTACCACGCATTTTACGGCAATATTTCATGTTGAATTGTGAAGCATGTATACAGGACGCGTGTGTTTGTAAAGCATGTGACACTTTCACTTTATTTCCAAACAGGGGAAGCTATTTTAAATGTATTCACAAGCATACGCTTGGCCGTGTGGTAGAACATCGCTTGACACTGAAACGACACGGGATCAATGTTCGCTAGGACCCAAACGACCCGGGTTTGATCTCCACTCTGTTGCAGGAGTTGTCGTTATTTATTCTATTTGAATCGTTATCGATACTTCGGTGACGCATACGATGATTTTCGCTCACAACCAACGACGCCGAAGCCAAGATCAATGGCGAAATTTCTGCAAAACGAGCTTTTAACGCTATTGCGGTAAAATGGGAGTTGATGGACAAAACAGAATAAGGAACGATTTTACAGGCGCGAGTTTATTGATTT